ATATGTGTTGTACAGATACAGATAGATACATCGAGAGAGGGAGAGAGAGTAGTACACATGGATGTGTATATATATATGTATACATATATAAAAAATATGTACAGATATGTAATATGTATGTATAGCCTCTGCTACACATATGACATCATAAAACACTGATTCGAGTATTACGAACTTGTATTCTTGCGAACACATGCACACCTACTCCACTGTGTCGCTCTCAACACACTCCTTGCCGCCCACTGTTCAGAACTTCGCAGTCCGAGACAACCAGCAGATGCCCTGCCCGTGGCCTCAAGGTAGCGAACTTCGTCGAGCCAGGAATTTACTTCCTTCCATGGCGCTCGGCTCCAGGCAATTCACGGCAGAAGTGGCAGAGAGCATGGGAAGGTGAGGGGGCTAGTGATGCTGGAACTTGTCGCTAAGCGACGGAGTTGGACTCTTGGACAAGACAGACACCTGAGACACCCTTACTGTCTTGCGGCGGGGACCCCCAAGCTCACCGAAAAACATCAGCTGCAGAAATGTCCCAAACGCCCAGCACAAACATCTCCTACAACACTCAACATCGGAAAAACGCACCCCGAAATATGGCCCACATACCCGGCTTGGTAGGTCCTTGGCTGCTCTCTGTCGGCTATCGAGGCCTCACCATTGTGCTCAGGGTTGGGGGTGGGGAGTGAGAGTTCTGTTCCAATCGTCAAGACCACTCTAAAGTGGCAGCTCGTGGCTTGCAAGTCATCAAGGGGCTGAAAACACTCCAAACAGGCTCCGGACTTGCAGGTTAACACTGCCCCAACCAGAACTGATTACCGAAGTTCGCGAAGCCAAACCACAACACGCTGCCATCCTCTCGCTGGGGCCGGCCAACGTTAGAATAAACCATGTGCATACCCAAGCCTGTGCGCTTGAAGCCGTTTGCTGAGGTTTGCTTCTGCACACATGACCGTCCCGGAGAACTGCGTGAAATTCTGAAATTCTCAACTCTCTTTCCACTGCTTTGACCCTTGAACGAGCCTTCAAATCCACTTAACCAGGTCCTAAAGCCGGGCCAAGCTGCACAACGACTCTGCCAAACGCCGCTTGCGCTCCTTCTCACGCCTGAGGGCAATGGGTCGTGCTGCGAGCAATAACTAGAGCCCGGAGCCTTTCACGGTCCTCTTCGTGGCGCTGTTTCTCCTCACAGCTTTCTGGCAGATTTCGGCTTTGGCGGTTGGGATGTGGCAAGGTTTCTCGGCGGTGGCCCAGTAGACTTGCAAGACTCGCTGTGCGAACTCATGCAACGTCGAGACTGCGCGTCTGCTTTCGAACTCATGAGCACCGACAACTACCACACAAAAGTGATAGCTGCCAGTGTCAAGTTGCAACCGTGCAACTTCGGCACTACAATGCCACACAAGCGTGGGCTCTACATACAGCCTCACACGCACCCGAACGAACACTGCGACCCTCGCCGACCTCCTCGGCTTGCCGGTGTTCCTCTAGAAGTCTCTGCACGAAGTCCTCGAGCAGATTCCGGAATTTCGACCCAATCCCTGGACACAACAAGCGCACCCGCCACCCGCCACCCTCGCCTGCATAGTGAACGGCTGGAGGCTGGTCCAGATCATCCTCGTGAAAGGTCCGGGCTCACAGAACTCTAGACCCGGGTCCATGTAAGCAGTTGGATGAACTGCAAATCTGCATGAGCCCATACATACCATACGAATGCAGATGGGAGGTCTGTCCATGTCTGCGTTCAAAGGATCAAACAAACTGCTTGCCTTCAGAAGGTTGTTCTCCAGATGTGCAATTCTGCTTAGAGTGGCTGTTTCTCCAAGGAGCGTGGCAGCACTGTCCGTGATAGTGTCCAGGACCTGTGCTGCGGGCTGGTAAATTTTTTGGGGGGTGTGCTTCACACGTGCGGGGTCGGGCTCTGCTCTTGTGACACGAAGAAAGAGTGCCTGTGTGGCAACTTACGAAACTACTGGGTAACTACTGACAACGTCTTGGTTTCGTACACTTTACGAAGTGATGATGTGGAAGAACTGCGTGTTCATATCTGCCCCCGCCCAATGCGAAGACGGACTCGTGCCGGGAAAGCCCAAAGACTCCGTGGCCTTCAGCTGCCTCAGCACCTTTAGAAAGTGCTCCTGCGACACGCCCTGGCGGAGGCTGCAGGCTGTGAATAGCAGCAAGGTCTTTGGTTCACTGGCAGAACAACTCGAATCTGTCAAAGGAGAACTCCTCGTGGACCGCGAGCCGCACAGGTGGCCGATCACCCGACGGAGGTGGTGGTGGAACCTCTCTGGAAATCGGAAAGTTGTCGGAAAGGAATCCTCTCGGCTTCACTTTGGAAGAGAGCTTCTTCACGCCAAGGCCAAGGTGTGTCCAGGAGCTTTAAACGCAAAACGACACATCCGAAAAAACGCAGCGCTGCGCTCGGCAGCACGTTGAATAGGGGTAACCAAGTTTGGCTCATGAGTCATGTGGCTTTGAGGAGATCGCGCTGCCAGAATACTTCTAGTTTTAGTTGAAGAAGTACACCACACGCGTAACATGTCAAGAGTTGTCCAAGCAGAAGCGTCAGCCAAACCATCCAACAAAGCGTTAAGCTGTACCGCATGTCTCAGCAAATCCTTGAGCCACACCTGAACAAAAGAACAAAGCTCCGTCGGGTCGGAACTCCAAAACACCGACCCCGCCGCACAACTCATGCGCACCTTTGAAACAGAACCGGGGCGGATCTCTCCGATGCTCTCAAAAGCCTCCAGGGGCAGCAACACAGCACTGAAAGACTGCACGTTGGCTCTTCAAGAGTCGAGATCTGGGATGAGAGAGCGGCCTCCACAACACCCCCGTGCTTCTGCTCGAGAAGGCCGGCAATTTCCACCTTGGCCAAGCATGCTTTCGGCCCCTTCGGACGGCTTTGATGGGCAAACAGGACACCTCTAGAACTCAAGAGCCACATCATGAACGCAGGCAGGCTGCCACCACATATCGCACGATCGGGTAGGAAAGTGCCTGACATGTCTTCTGCATTGGGAGCTTGAGATCGAGCAGTCACGGCTTCTTTGCGGCTTTCCGGCGGGAGTCTAGAGGAATCTACAGGTTCGCATGACACTGGAAGCAAGTTAGACAAGCGCCTGTAAAAACCTGGACTCCTTAATTTTGCGCTCCACGACAGCTTGGCACAAACTTGCACAAACAACACCCACCGAGCGCTCTTGACGTCTGCCCTCCATGACAAGGATTGCTCTGGTGGTCAGTTGGCTACTTCAAGGCTTTATTCTGGTGTCTTATGGCAATGGCGAGAAAACGTAGGCGCATGCACACCGTGTGCAAGTTCTGCTAGTGAATGAGCCATGCAGGCAGGCTGCAATGTAAAAGCGCGCAAGATCGGAGTGGGTCTATCTATATCTAGACGCAAGACTCATCTCCCAGACCTTCTGCAGCTCCTCCACCGAGATGGAACCTTCTTTGTCCTGCACAATCTTCATTCTCTCACTGTGGGCGGTTCCTGAAGAGCGTGTTTGCATGTGTGTAGATGTATGCATGTGTATGTATGTATGTTCGGTGTTTTTTGCAAGTATGCATATGTCTATGTATGTATATGTGTATATGTATATACGTATATATGTATATGTATATGTATATGTATATGTATATGTATATGTATATGTATATGTATATGTATATGTATATGTATATGTATATGTATATGTATGTTTATATGTATATGCATATGTATATGTATATGTGTATGTATATGTATATGTATATGTATATGTACGTATGTGTGTATTCATTCACACATACATACTCTCTCTCTCACCGCCGCAAGAAGTCCTCGCGCTGCGCTTCGGAGTCGGCAGCTTTAAGCCGGCATCTCGAGGATGCATGCCCGGTAGTTGTTGGGCACCCGTAAAGAAAACGTTTCGCCAAAGGCCTAGCACTTGACAGCACATCGCTACACTTGTCCTTGGGATGAATTGGAGAATCAAAAGCGTACCACAACATTATGAAACAGTCAAAGAAGTTGTCATCCCTGTTCGTCCGGCGTGTCCGCCCCATAAGCGACGAACTGGACCGATCATCCGTCCAAAACTGTGGTCCCCCTTTGAGACCTTAAAAGACCTCGCATCGCGGGCAAAAGGTAGAGTGTTATTCTAAACGACTCAGTATATATACACAGGAGTTTCGTCCTAAAGTGTTCAGGTCTGCATGTTCAGCCAGCATGTGTGGCATGTGCACATTCGAGCTCCCTATGACTTGGCCCTGGGCGAGGCAGGCCACCTTGTAACACTCAATGGTACACATACATACATACATACATACATACATCGATACGTGCCATGCCATGCCATACCATGCCGTATACTATGTTATGATGTAACATGATATGATAATACAAATTGAAGTGAAATGATAAAGTATACCGTAGCGTTACATATTAAAGGAACCTGATACTAGAGAAAAAACTGGAACATAGAAATACAGTATCAACATGATACAATATCATAGGATCGGACATACAGCAATACTACAACCTGGAATAATTTTATAAAAACAAATGCCACATACCATAATGTGATGTGACATAATGAAAACCGTGATCTAATATAGTGTAATACGATAGAACGCCATGTAGCATAAATACCTTTCAAATATGCGATAATACGATGTAGCAGGAAAAAGGAACAGTTGAATATAGTAGCATAGTCCAATATTGAACAGACGACAATATAATCTACTAGAACACAATATGGTATGATATAGTGCAATGCAATATAAGATGTACAACCATGAAAATGAAAATAGTATAATGACTTGTAGTGTCATAAAGTGAAATCATCTAACCTTACATGATAAAAGATATAAAAAGACCAAACATAATATGATACAAGATAGTAGGATAGAAGGCCATAACATATAATACTACATGAGATTACCAAACATAATGTGACATAAGTAACTAGAATGCAGCGGAATAGAATAGGCGATCATATGACATAACATGATAGCCCAATCCACTATCATATCATATGATAGATCATACATCTAATTTACTAATGCATGTATGTGACATACGATATTGAGCTTTACTACGCAATCGCAGCCGGTGAGGCAATGACCCTTGAACCTGATGTCTGAGAGTCGGACTGCAGATTGATCGAGATCCGGCAGAGTCCTCGTCGATTTCGTTGAAGACCCGCTGCATGACGGCGGCTTCCAACTCGATGTCGAGCTGCTTCGCCAATCTCCCAAACCTCATCGACACATCGACAGGGGGATCCGCAGCTAGAGTTGAAGATCGACGGTTTTCCGCTTGATCTCTCCCCCTGAAGCCTTCGAAGAGACCCCAAGCTCCTGCAGCTCTCGCCGCAGCCTAGCTCAAGCTAAGCCCTTCCAGCCTCCAACAAGGTTGATCCAATTCCTGAGGCCTTGTCTGCGCCAGGGACAGCGAGGAACTCGTCGAATGCAACCAGCTGCCATGCTTCTGGAAAGCTTCCTGCCGGGCCCCACAAAGTGAGCTACGATGTGGGCCCTGCCACTTGGCTGCGAAGCTTGAATGCCACGGTTCGCGGAACCTCGATGCTGCCAAACTTCTCACAGATGCTGCGCGCCATCTCCTGGTCGAGCCGCTCTGAATCCGCCGGCACAGGGAATGCTCGGGCCACTGCTTGCCAAATGCTGCTGAATCAAGTCGACCGAAGCAGAAACGTTCTGTGGTCCTCAAAGATTCGCTTGACCTCATTCCTTTGCCGAAGCTTCTCGCGACGCCTGAGTCGCGAAGATTCAAAGCAAGAAGGCTGCAGGTTCAGTCAGTGCCTGCGCAGAGTCTCGCAGTCTAGCTAGCATGACGGAACCTTTCACACCGTGGGTCAGATAGCTTCTGCATAAGGAATAGTTGTGGGACCCGTTCTCTGCACGACCAGGTGTTCAACGGCCAGATTATAAAAAGGAGCGTGCTGGAGTGCTGGCGCTGCTACACAGTATTCCGGCATCTTGCGGCGAGAGCATGCAAGGATCTCAAGAAAGAGAACATACACAATTAATCATTGATGTGGTGATCGTCTTAGGCAAAGCGTGATAGTACAGCTCTACTACGTTTTCACTGTGCGTGTGCTACTTGTAAACCCGAAACCCCATGATCCCTAAACTTCTACATGGAAATGTCGTCAGGTTCGGTTCTTCGGGACCTCCTCGCTGGTTGTTACAGCGCAGCTGAGAGGCTGAGACGATTGTTTGCACAGATTTCGCAATGGCTTGCGAAGAGAGATGGCTCGGAAGCCTTACAACTTACAGCTTACGAAGAGCAAGGCTGGAATCGCAAGCGAGACGCTTGATCTCGTCCAAGGGCGAGTCCAGCACATTCAGGAGCTCCTGACTCTCCGCTCCCAGACTGGCGGCCCAAAAGTGCCGTGGGCTCCCTCCCCTCCCACTGCCTCGACGGAGATGCTGCCGCTGTAATCTTCGTCGATGTGAGCGAAGAAGTGAACCACGTTGTCCACCTCTGACAAATGGCAACCCGTCGGACCGCAGCTGTGCGTCTGCACATTGCATCTGCAGCTAAGGTCGAATGCGGGCACCTTGACCCCCCATTTCTTCAGCGCCAGCTCGAACTCGACCAATTTCAGCTCCACCTGCAGGGGTTTTGCTTCCGGGTCCCTCCGGCTCCGGGTCGTGGTGCCCAACTGTCCACACCGAAGTTACCAGAGGGACAAACAAGAAGAACCCCTCAACCAACAAACTTGCACAACACCTCGAGGAATCCGCACACATGTCTGCAGAAAGATGGCTTGCCTCGGGATCCAGCGCTTTGCGTGCCTGACAGGAAAACAGCGTCTTGAGAACATAGTGTTTCAGCCTCTCCCCTGCCAAATCTCATGTAACGTCCTTCAACAGGCAGTGGGACTGGAAGCAGGCACATCCACCACACAGGTCCCACGACACGGGAGCCCCACAAGGCCGGGAAGCTTTGAAGGCAAAGCTCAAACCGTCGAAACAAAAACTCAACACGGATACCAAGAACTTGACACTTGATCTCGAAGAAGTCCCTTTACATACAGACCTCCGCCAGACTCCCATAGCGCTGCGCAAAGTGCTGCGCCAAGCGCTCCACGTCAACCTCCAGCATTCGACTTGTCGGCTGAAGGATGGGAACAAATTCGGGTCTGAAGGTCCGTGACTGCTCCGCTTCCAAAAGCTTGAGAGCCGGCAAAACTCAAACAGAATCAACCAGACCGCATAAGCACCTGTTCTCTTCGCAACGACCTGCGCGCTCCGGAACATGTTTTGTGAGCTCTGCAAACCCTGATGCCTCTGGCTGATAGTCGGCAGAGTCGACGCTCGGCTCGGGCAAGCGAGGCGACAGAGTGTCCTCATCGGTAAAAAACGGACTCTATATTCATAAGTCTCTGGCTGGGACATTGCATGGAAATCTCGTCTCGGCCTGCTAAAGCTCTGCGTGAAGACGTTGGGATGTTCTGGGGCTCGTGCTTGGCTTCCACGCCGCATGATGGCATTGTGCAGTGGCTGCTGCCTTCTGAAAAAACCTTATGCAAAGCGGAACACCCACTGCATACAGCAAACCCATCTTTGTACGAAGTTGCTGCAATAACATGGAAAATATTGCAAATCAGACGCTACCGTGGTTGCGAGGTGAAAACTGGATAACAACAATCTTCTGATTGCCGTATACTGACACACACGATCAACTTCATTGAACAACGAAACGTATGGGTGAGTCGGTGAGCAGCTGTTGCAAGAGCAAATGCCACGATCATGATCCACTTTGCGAAACCGGGAAGAGAGACACAAAGTGCATGCATAAGTGTCGGCAACAAAATGTTTTTGGTCGCTTGTAAACATCGTGGAACCAGTCGAAGCTGGGAACCAGTGGCACAAACGGAAGGTCAACCATTCGTAGATTCGGCGTAATGAGATTTTTGAGTCCACGTGCAATGGGTGCAATCGAGACTCAATGCAAACTGCAAACAAGTATCTTGCTCGGGTTCGAAGCAACAGCCGGATTTGTTGCAGTTGTCAGGGAAAAAACAAAACAGAAACGCTCCAGCGAACATTCCAAACCATTCTTGCAAAACTTTTTGCATGAGACCGTGAGCTAGTTTAGATCGTCAATACTTGAACAAATCCGGCACAGATGCCTGCTGCGGAAGTCTTTTCGTTGTCAAAAGTTGAAAAAGCAGGAGTGTTCGTTGCCTTTTTTCGAGAGTCTCATGCTGCAGAAAGAAAAACATCCCAAAGAGCATTCTTAGGCATTGCACATTGTGGAGCCGGCGCGGAACTGTACTACTACGTGCGGCTCTGCTTGTGAACAACAAATTCGAAAATTCCGAACCTCAAGTCAAAGGGCAGTCAAAGAGCTAGCGCAACCCTCAGACTGATACAAGATAAGATGCAAGCAGCAACACACAACAGGCAGCGTGCGGGCTTTGTAGGAAATTTTGTAACTGCCTGCTTACGGTCGTGGCCACCCAGTGTCTGAGTTTTTTTTGAGCTACTTCCTGCATGCCCGGACTTTGAGTCCCCCTCGCGAGCTTCGACCCGACCAGCTTGAGTGTATCAAGGCCAGCGGTGGACTTGACATCTTTCCGCCAAGTGCTTGGTCCGTCTGACTTCCGTGTCTCTTTGTTTCACATGATGTTGTTTTTCTTCTGAGTGCAGCATGGCCGCTAAGTTCCCGCGAACCTGTGCCACTCCGTTAGTCAGAGCATCGTTCAGTGTCTACTTGTACATTGACCAACTTCCCGACCAAACTCCACATGTTTGTCTGCTGCTTGAATGTTCTCCATGTTCGGACTGCAATCTGGAGAATGCTTCGTGCTTCTGACACAAGCAAACGAAGTTGCGTTCGTCGTAAAGTAAAGAACGTTCTGTTTGCCTTCTTCACATACGCAACCCCCACACTCAGGCATCTTCTTGTCTGTGTGGAAAATTTTTTTCCTGTGACTTGCTGAGTCGATGTTTCACGCGACTCATCTCATCTGGTTTGACAAGCTTTTGCTAAAGCTTACAACCGATTTCTTGGAGTGTTCCAAGCGCAGCTTGACCACTTTTTCATCTGTCAACTTCGCCAGGAAGAGGGGCTGCTCAATTTTTGGACCGCAAAACATCTTTTTGCAGACCACAAGCGTCTGGAACACGCGAGTTTGGACTTGGGCCCGAAGGAATTTGCGATTCCAAGACAGAAGCTGCCAAGCAGCTTCTTGATTTCGACCCCGGCATGTCTTTCCGACCTCCATCTTTTTTCATCGCGACAAAGTCCACAAAAGATTGCGATCTTTTTTTCGTTTCAGCCATCTTGGTTCCAAAACATCTCGGGGTGATGTCGGATCCGTTTGAATCTTTTCTGACCTCTGCAAACACAGAGGCACCAAGCCACACTTTTTGGCGTGAATGGGTCTTGGCGGCTGCTGCGCTCGGTCCCAAAAAGAAGCAAGAAAGTGAGAACAAGAGGCAACTAACATACAAAAGTGAAACAAGGCTGTGACATACACTTAGCCGGCATTCAACATTCATTGAACTGCAATGGAGCTGCCGCTTAAAGAGCAGCGACGCCGTCAACTTGATGCACGGTTTCCAGGAGCTACCGACTTGCGCGGACTTGCTTCTCTTTGTCTCGATCCCCAGTCCCTCGCGAGTACGAGCCAGTTGTGTCGGTCAACTTGGGTTTACGCTGATACGCGGTGTGGCTTGGTGGTTACCCAAGGACACAAAAAGTCTTCGCTGGCATGGATGATGCGTAACCGAAAAGGGAGCCGCAAGAGTTCCGCGAAAGACCAATCGGACATGCCACTGCGCTAATCTCCACGGCTGCCGCCGGTGTCTCATCGGCCGCTACTTCTTCGGAGGTGGGTGGCGGGTCCACGGGCAGGAAATTAGTGTCTCCCCAGAGGCGCCATAGCTTGTGCTGAACGGTCAATGCCGGTCTGTACTCCGCAGCTAGCTGCAGTCGACGAGACCCGCTGAAGCCAGAAAGGCTGATTAACAGAGATCGACAGCAAGCTGCGGCGCACAAGCTTTCCCAGTGTTGGCCGTTCTGCACAAGCTTCGAAGCTCCAGCAGCTCCGAGGTCTTGTTGTGTCACGATCGTGCACGGCAAATCCACAAGTTGCAGAGCTGAAGCAGTGGCATGTAGACGTGTGTCGCAACTTTGAGCCAAAGGTTGCAGACACGGTCTTGACATTCCAATCTGTTGCTTTTATTTGCAGCGCTGTTGAAACCGATTGATCGCAAATCTTTAACTTCATCTTCTTCGCTCTAAGTGCAAGGCAACTGTTAGAAGGTTGACAGAGGGAATAAACAGAAGCAAAAACATGAAACTCTGAGACAGAGCAGAATGAAAACTTCCGAAAGAGACTTTGATGGTCAGACACGCGGATTGGTCTCCACATTAGATGCAGTTGCTTGTTCAGTGGGTTGAAACCTCTTTCTGGCCTCTTTCCGGCCTATTGACACGGGCCGCCTTCAGATTGATACTACCTGCCGCCTCTCCCTCCCGATTGACAGTGTCAATCCGCCCCGGCGGCGGACAGAACGGATTGACACCGCTTCGAGATTGACACCTCTGCCCTGCCACCCCACCTCCAAGTTTAAAGAGCTTGTGCAGAAGCACTTCCACCAAGCCTGCCGTGTTGCTGCCTGCCGAAAAACGTCAATGTAGGCCTGCTAGGACCCTGAGCCGCACAGATGTTAAGACAAAATGCCAACTTCCGTATGAAGTCTAGGCTCCTTAGTAGGACCGAGAAGTCTCCTTGGAGGGCTCTGTGACAAAGATGATGACGGGCTGTTGTGGCGGGCACAGTGGCGCGAATACCCAAACCGTTGATCCGGAGCAGGTATTTTCTGCTCTAAAGGAGGCCTGTAAATCCTAAGTGTCAAGACACAGTCCGACAAGCAAGCTGAGATGATGTGCTTGCCTGAAAGCAAGACGCGTAGCACGCGCAGACTTTGCTTACCAAACTACAGCTCTATACAAGTCTCTTTCTTGCCGTAGAGAAAAAAAGATGCAGGCGTGCCGCTCATCATGCCGAATTCAAATGTTGGACAAAATGCAGCTATTGCCACAACTGCTCCCATGCTCCTACGCACTGCCACAACGCTGCCGGTCCAGGTGGATGTCACTGCCGCACGGGTTTTCCTCCTTCTGCGCAGCTTGGAGAAGGAAAACTGGAGTGGGCCTTCTACTCTCCTCACTTCTACCGTTGTCAAGGTCCAGTTGACAGTAAGATAAAGCTGTTCTCTTCCGGCACCGCGTCACTCCCTCAAGCGCTTGGCACCGGAGACTTATTGCCACTGCGTTTTCTCGCGGCTGTCCGCACTGTCACTGCAGCCTCTCTGCCACATTGTGTTGCGGAGCTTCTGGATCATTCAACAGGTCAGGCTCCGATGCTCTGAGGAGGAAAGCCGATCAACCTGCCGCTGTCTGCTCCAGTTTAGATCTTTACTCGGTGAACTGTCGCTCAAGCGTGTCGTAGATTTTCTGCACTTTCATGTCTACAGTCAAGGTCCCGCGCTTGAGGATGCTGGACAGAAGAATCGCCGGATGTCGCATCAGAACACCACCCGTCGCTTTGCCAAGGAATTGCCAGTCGTGCTAAAGGTGGAAGATTGTTTCAGCTTTGGCACATACGTACTTAGCTTGTCATGTCCCAATGGCCTTCCGTCTCCGCCAAACACGGGCTGGTTCTCTCATCACAGCGGCAACCAACCTCCTTCCGAGAGCTGTCCACAGCCGCCCTCTTGCTCATCCGTCAGTGGTCCGACTTTCTTGGAGTCGAGTCCCTCCGCAACCGGATCACGTTTGCAGCTGGGATCTTTCTCTTCGTTGTCTGTCGTGCATGAAAGTAGGAGGTGCGTTAGATGTATTTTCAGGTGCTGAAAATGCTCGAGGTGAGGTCTCTCTAGCCTTGCATTGGCATGCCCGTTCGACCTTGTACCCAGCCAGCTCCGAGGCCTCGGCGTCACTTTTGCTGCTGAGAGGCACCTAGTGCTGTTCCTGCAAGCCGTAGAGGCGGCGAGTTGCACATCTTGGCTGCTCTCATGGGATAGACATTTTGCCGCCACATCGATGAGCTCCTCAACAGTGGATGGACTTCTGTGCGGACACATTTCGGCCATTTTGGCTGCCCGGGCGCAGGCTCTTGCAAAACTTTCTCCCTTCGGTGCGCCTTGGTCTGCATGGACGCGGTGTTGGAGACGGTGTTTTGGACTGCTCAGCAACACTCAGCGCTCATCGCAGTTGTGCGTATAGCCTCTAACCTCCTTGCGGATGCTCCGGACTGGCTGCGCCCGCTCGTTGTGGTGCGGATGGTCTCTGGCATCAGTTTCGGGCCGCGAAGCACGCCTTGCCTCCCCTTCGGTCCGGAGTGCTCACATACTGCTGCTTACGCAGGGGTCGCACTGCAGCTACGGTATACCTCCTGTAGCGAGGTTAAGACCTTCCTACGCGGTGCACATGTCATCGTGATTGATCAGGGTCAGCAGGAGGGTCA